GACCTCATGGAACTTGATCTGTAGGTTAACCCAATTGAAGGAGTGGAGTGGACACGAGGCACCAATCAACTCTTTCTATCACCAATGATATCATCGGAACACATGAGGTGACCAATGGGAGCTTGTTTATATTCAGTTACTGACGTGTTTTGTGTCAATCAATCAGATGCCAGGTTACATTGTGCTATCAAAAATTTAGGGTCAAACTGAGGTAGGCAAAATCCCCCAAAAAAACCATGAAAAACAATAGACACTTTAAGAGGGTACAAGACAGTATGTGAAAAGGTGAATAATAAGCCTTCCCCTGCCAACAAAACCTCTATTTCTTGTCACTTCTAGTTCTGTAAGGTGACACTTCACTTGTTAGTCCTTTTACTTCCTAGAACCTTCTTGCCCTTAGTAGAGGAAGTACATACTTAAGTCTTTTCAGGCCACTAGAGACTCAAGTTTTTATTCAAAGGAGTTTATAAACAAGTAAGGGAGGATAAAAGAGATACATAAAAACAAGCTTCAAGTTGTTTTAATGAAAATGTAAAGACTTTATTAGCAAGGAAGTATAAAACTACTTGCAAACATCTTTTTTGTGTATGGTCAGAGGATCAGTGAAAAGAGTTCAATTATATAAAATCTTTATAGTTATACTTCAATATAAAAGACTTTAAGTATTATACTATTAGTCCTTTTTTCTTATAGAATTTTCTTGCTATAGATAGAGAAGGTGTTTCTTGACTTTTGTAAGTTACAGGAAACCAGGTTTTTGTTTGAAAATAAATATAAACAAAAAAGGAGATTTAAAATATCTCTTGAAATAAAACTTCGAATTGATTTAGAAATAGTGTTAAGACTTTATTAGTAAAAAAATAAAAAATTTCTTATAAATAGCTTTTTTATATATGAGTAGAGAATCAGTAAAAAGATTTTTTTTTTTTTTTAACTCACAATCATATTGAAATGACTTGTTTTTATTAAGATATTTAAAAAAATATCAAAATAATCTATAGACCAAATGTAATAACTAACTTATCTTTGTATATTATTAGTTAAAGAACTATATTACTTAAAAAATATGAGATATCCACTAAGCTAGTTCAGATTAAACAAAACTAAGTCTCAACTAGGTACTCTAAGTCAGATTTAAAAAATAATATTATGCTCTCTTAGTAGCTTGACATAATATCTCTAAGTCAATTAGAGTCATTGTCAACAGTTTGTCACTGTTGATTATTCTGAAAAATAATAAATTGCTAAAGTTTGAATTGAGGAAGGGAAAAATAAAAAACAATTCAAATCCTTCCAAAAGATTCTTGTTTTATTTCATAGCCTCTTCTTAAAAGAAGTCTTGTCTGATTGGGATATTTTTTTTTGCTTTATTTGAATCTTGGAAGAAATCTTCTTTGTTACCATTTATGGCATCAAATAAGTTTTTATTTAAGTGTGTACCAAATTAAAATAGTCCAAAAGAAACTAAAAGACCTCAGCTTCTACCTTAGGAAGCTTTTTCATCATTTGAGGAATTTAGAAAAGGGATAGAATTTCGTTATATAAATTTATCCCACCTTTTAATATTATAACTATTTTTTGGGATCAAATATATATAGTTGAAGGGGAACTTCTTCTAGAACTTTCTTTTCTATATCACTCATGATGTAATAGGAACACGTGAGTGTGACCAATAGGAGCTTGTTTACTTTTCCTGAACCAATGTATTTCATGTCAACCAATCATCTTTGGTGAGAATTTATACTATCCAAAATTCAGGATCAAACTGAGGTAGATAAAATTTTCCAGAAAACTATAAATGCAATAGCTCTAAAAGGCCCACAAATAACTGAAAGGGGAAAAAATAAACTCTTCTGTTATCAAAAACCTTTATATACTCTTGCTTCAAAGATGAAAAAGACTTTCACGTACTTTATATTGATTCTTTTTTCTTTAGAAACTTTCTTGTCATTGATAGAAAAGGTGTTACTTGACTTGTTCTTGATTATTAGAAGTCAAGTTTTTGATCAAAAAGGACCGTAAACAGGTAAGAGAGGGTAAATGTGACTCATGAAATACTTTTCCAGAAGTTTTAAAGAAAGTGTTTAAGACTTTTTAGCAAAGAAGCAACAAAAAATTTCTTGGGAACATCTTTTTTGTGTATAGTCAGAAGATCAGTAGAAAGAGTTTTTATCAGCGGAAAAATTTTTTTTATTAAGTATTTTTTAATATTATATAAAAACTCTTTTCATGGATTCTTTGATAATATATAAAAAGAATGTTCACAAAAAAGTTTTATACTTTTCTACTAATGAAGTCTTATTACTTTTCTTAAAATAACTTGAAAAATAATTTCAAGAGTTTTTTCCAACTTTCCTCTCTTATTTATATTTCTTTTCAAACAAAAACTTGATTTCTAATAACAAATAAAAACCAATAGTAAAGTATTGAAAGTTTATCTTCTGAAACAAAAGTATAACTAGAGATTTTATGTTATGGATAGATGGGTGAACAAATGTCTAAACTATGAAAGTTTCATTTTCATTATTTCTATCCTCTTAGAGTCACTTATTTTTCAAAGTTTCTTTGAGAAGTTTTATCTATCCCTGTTTGATCCTGAATTTTAAAGTAATACAAAATCAATATATTATAATTTTTGCTAAAGATAATTGATTGACATAAAACATGTTAGTGGTAGAAAGTAAACAAGCTCTTATTGATTACATCATATATTTTAATAATATTTTTGATGAAAAAAAGAGAAATCATTGATATAAACACCTCCACTTCTTTAAATGACGTGTGACTGAAGCAAAGAAATTATGAGGCCATTAGGATAGGCACTTAATTTCCTAGATAATAAAAAGGTGATTATTTGTTTAAACTATTATCTTCAACTTCTTATCATTTTGATTAAGCAAAGTATATAAAGGAGATTATTTTCTTATCCCAGATAGACTATAAAATCAAAAAATAGAAGAATGTAAAATATTGCTTTTCTTTAGAATTAAGAATATATTTTCTCAGATATTATATAATAATATTACAATTAAGATGAATACCAGTAAAATTCTTTAACTAAGTATAGTTTTTAGAAGATATTAGGAATTATATAATAAGATTGAAAAGTTATATGAAAACCTGAGATCTATTATTAGTTATTTTGTTTTGTATAGATGGATACAAAATCAAAATGAAAGAAAAAAAGTGTTAAGTAAAATATTGGATCTGAATAGGCAATAAATACTTCAGATAATATAAGAAAATAATTAAAATCATAGATGGATAAGTTCTTCAAATGATTAGAAAGAAAAAAGATATTCTAGAATGGTTGACTTCTAATAAGAAGAGATTTCTAGTAGAGATTATTTGAAGAACATGGAATATATATATATATATATTTTTATGTAAACATAATTGTGTATTTTTAGATATACACTTTTCTTTTATTTTCTCTTTTCTCTTTTGTAATTTCTCAAAATCATTTTCTTGGAAGATAAGTAGTGATAACCTGCTAACAATGATGTGTAAATTAGAAGAGTATTTATCTAAAATCTATTATAGAGCAAAATATTATTCTCAAGGTCATACTTAGAGGTTAAAGCTCTTTTAAAAATTAAAAGTCATTGATAAGTAAGTTAACATGAGTTTTAGTTTAGCCATGATGCAATTACCCTATGTACTGTATCTCTATCGGTTTTCATATTGATTAATAAACACACAGTGCTGACCTGACCATGGGTTTTTAAAAAAAAAAAAAATTAAGTATTTTTTAATTTAGTGTATCAAGTATATATGATTGATGCCGATCATATACTAGTCACGTTATTTTGAATTGATAGGGGTTCGGAAATTTTCGCCACAACTTACAAAACATAAAATATATTCCATATCTATTAATAGTAATGAATTTCCAAATACTTACCTGTCGCATTGATGGACATTTGCATACGAAGCAATTTTCATTAAGGTTTGCATTCGAAAAAAAAAAATTTTAAACTTCATCGGATACATATCCGATCTTATCGATGCCTTCTAGCGGAATCGAACCGCTGACCTTCTGCTTACTAGGCAGACGCTCTGCCAACTGAGCCAAGAAGGCCTCGATGATTGATGAGTAGAAATTTCAATAATACTTATAAACTCGCTTGAGTAATTACGAACACACCTTTCCAAATAAAGCAATTTTATCAAAGGGTATAATATAAAATCAATTTTAACTCCCAATGCCATTGTATTTCGATCATTGATTTATTAATTATGGCACTAACTGATTTTTTCCCTCACTGAATGCCCTAGTTAACCAGATAAGGATAGAATATCCATTTTGTGTGCCGAGATTCGTTTTATATATAATGAATTTACTACTCAGCATTTATTTAAATTGTCTGTCACCACTCGTTGGTTTTTACAGCACCAGTCGTTTACCCTATGAAATAACAATAAATATAGCATGGTATGCACATTATCAATATTAGCGAACGAAAAAGCAATCAAAATAGCACATGATACTTGCAATAATTTGCATCCGGATAAGGAACAACTTCAACTTTTTTACGTTTCTTTGCATTCTGCCATTGATTTAACCAAACTTCCATTTCGTTGCGACTCTTCTCAGACCTGTTTTAGGAGAATAATACTAAATTAGCAGTCCCGATGTATTAAACATCGAACAATAATACAATGTTTACCCATTGTTAACAGTTGGTATTATTTTTTTCACATTCAACGACATGACGAATGCCGCGAGTTCACGGAAGCTTGAATGTTCAGAATATGGAACTTCGAATATTTGGCACGTGGGTGAGTGGTATGATGGTGTGATCGAATCCATAGTGTAGGGGGATGCCTTATTTAATATCTCCTGCGTGATGTCGTTACCAACGGCCTTCAGATCTTCAGAAGATCTGAATGACCATCCTGTGGGTCTAAATGCCATTACGTACTTGAATGTCGGTTCGAGTTCCTTAAGATAGGCTAATAAACTCTGCAAATCATTTAAATGAAAAAACATAAACAGTTAAACTCATACTCAACGCAAAAATAATGCGAAGAAAATCTTACTTCAAGTTTTAATAGTTTTATGGAAACAACATGAACAGACGCTTCATGTGGGTTATGCGTCAGTAATGACTCCAATTCTGGGTTTTCTTGACACAACAGAATCTTTCGTTTGGAATCTAGAGCGTAGATTTTTGAATCAAGTGCTCTTGCGATTCCTGTAATAAAGAAACATGAATTCATTTCTAATTTAGTACACAAGATAGACATTGCGAACACACTCACCGTGAAAGACCTTCTCTTTACCGATCAAATATGCACCGACCAAGACTAGAATTTTGCTGCCCTTCAGCCTAGTTTGTTCTTCCTCTTTATGTGTACTAATATCGGTGGTGGGTAATTTCAAATCTGCCGCTTTTTCAGAACTGACTCCGAATGAACCTGTATCATTGTTTGAGGGTGACTGCGGTTTACATTTAATCCATTGAGTCAACGAGAGCTGTGACTTATCCTGTTGCTGCTTTTTTGTGTTCCTATTTGATTTCATGGGAAGCAATTTTCCATTTTTCGCCGCCTTTTTGACGAGTTGTATAATGGCGTTTACAACCAGTTCCTGAGCCGGAAAACTATAGCTTGGATTCAGATACGTGGTGTCCAAATATAAAACATCTATTTCAGGATTCGCAGGTTGCCTTATCGCCGAATGAAGAATCTGACGTGGGCAAGCACGAAAATCTCCCGTGTGAAGATACCGCATGGTTTCCCCGTTGGCGAGTTTGTCTTTGAACAAAAACAACACAGATCCTGGACAACTGAAGTTTGAAACGGGGAATTGTGATAGAAATTTTTTTTTTTTTTTTAAAAAAAAAAAAGAAAAAAGAGAACTATTAATTACGAATTAACCTACTGATTCGCGTCAATTAAAGTGACTTTGACACCAGTCCCTTCGATCTCCACCTCTTCATCCATAGGTAATCTCTTTACATATCGGTCATTGACACGCAATTGTTGGATCACCAAATTTCCAGTAACCACCGAGCAATATACGGGACCATGTGACCACTTCGAGGACAATCCACAGTAATGGTCAGAATGGAAATGGCTTGAAGAATGGTACATCATAAATATGCGTAAGTCATAATCGAAAATCAACGAAACCTGGAAATATCTGCGGTACCTTAAAAAATAAGCAGTACAATCCGGAATTCTACCATAATTGAACGCATCAACTGTTATGCTCGTCCCTAATGAAATAAGGATAAGTCATTCCGATGTAATAAAAAGGGATGTAAATAAATCATATAAAATCTTATTTGCCTGGAATTCTCTTATAGAAAGGAACTACTCTATTCTGTTTTGCGAAGGGACTCGCGCTTCTATTAATACCATGTGTCGTGGGATATGTTTTCTTAGGTTTAGGACTATTTTCGACCGAAATACCCTTCGTGTAGCTAAACAACGCGCTCCACGTAGAGGGATCCTTGATGTTCCGCGATTCCTGAGTCTCCACATTTGTTGATTTTACTTCCGCCAATTCAACCGTTGTTGATGTTGACTCCACAAAGGTGTCGGAAATATTGGTGTTCGATTTCGCGAGGATTGACTTGGTCTTTATCAACTTTTTCGAGTCGAACACAGTTTCGAACTTAATATTAAGCGTACCAATGTTGGAGCCTTCCCGTGTTGATCCGGTCTTTTGAGTAAACTTATTTTCATTTGCCCTAGATTCTACCTTAGCATCAACCGTTTCTAGACCAGACTCGGTTGCTCTAATCAATTCGGTAGTGGCCACATTGGATTCCACTTTAACATCGGATGCGGTGAACCCCGGAGCCGTTACGAATGACGAGGGATTATTGAGACATTCAGAGACATGGATGTTCGATTCCTATTACGAGGATAATATAATAGTTGAGGTTTTCATCCCAATGAGTTGAAAGATGGGAGAGTAGTGGAAAAATAAACGTCCGAAAACTCGCTTTTATTTTAAATTTTTTCAATGAATCTTTTAATATAGGACAATAATTCTCATTATCATCTATTTCCATTTCATCAGAAATCAAATCGATATCCAGTTGATTAAGCATATCTTCTGCCCTCGAAGAAATATCCTCACTCAATGATTCGGTTACAAAGGTATCATTGAATTTATCTTCAATTTCAATGGCATTCACTTTAGAAATTAGTTTCGTGTTCCAATATTTCGATTTCGGCGTACTCTCTTCGGACCGAAAACCTTTCATATAATCAGGCTATTCAGCCATACTTATACAACCATATAATTTTTGTCATTTATATTGAAATCTGTACCTTTTGCGCCATTCGATTCTGCGAAAACGAGTAATGCTTTTGAAGAACCAGTAAGGATTTCGGAATTAGCGTAGGTATGGCTTCCTTCCGAACCAACGATCGATTTAAAAAGACTCTTTTCAGTTGAGCAGTCATAACTTTCGGTAGAAAGTGTCGATGAAGGTTGAGAAGTGAAAAGGTTAGACGCGTTTCGTTCTTGTCTTTTTGAAGTCTTACTTAAAGACCTCTGTTTTTTTTTAATTTCGACACTCCCTTTAACTTTATTTATTGGACTGCGCTTTGTTGGAACAAGCGAAGATTCGGTATCCTCTCTAGCCGTGTATTCGGCGCGAAGTTTCGCAAGCCGTTCTTTTGTTTTCTCGTTCCAAATATCCTGTTCCGAATCTTCATACATTATTTTTTTTTTTTTTTGCGCTGTTTACAGAAATACAAGAGTACTTTCGGAATTCAGGCAACAAGCTGCTAGCTAACCTTTATTTTTTTTGTAGCGTGAAGTTTCCGAGTCCACAGAGAAACCGCAATTTCCAAGAAATCGCGTTATTAATATTATTGTAGAAGTACGTGACGTGAAAACTTGGTATGACGCTGATCAAAAATTTGTCCAATCTTAACGTTAATTATGGAGATCGTATAAATTAAAATTTAAAAGCCGCTCGCCACCAGGTAGACATCCTCCCTCCCCTAATAACAGAAATTCTTCTACGTCATTACAACTCTGGTTATACAGTATATAATATTATTCTTGAAAAAAAAAATGGAATAGACATCTGCAGAATTTGTTTCTCTAAATCAAAAATAATTAATTCACCTGAACAAAAACATCAGGATTACAATTTTAATGTGAGTCGCGTACTTAAAATTCGCGTAGATAGAATGGATCACCATCACTCATGAGTCAAAGTGGCATTATAGTTCTTTACCACATTCAAAATTTCGGCTCTTTATTAGTTTAACGACCAGTGTTACATATTTTTCGATGATCCTTTATACATTAGTCGATATACGATATTATGAGTCATGAAGAGATTCACACGAACCAATTATGTATATAAATATTGATTGGCATAATTCGTATATAAATACGTCAAATTTTTTTAAAGATACGGATGATCAAAGATCTCAATTCTTGCATCAAGAAATGTTTTCAAAGTCGATCACAGCCTTGTACCGCTCGAGCGTAACGAAACGAATTGTTAATTCCTCTTCTCACAAATTTGTTCAAAATGCTCGACCCATAGTTTTTCCTAGTTTTAGGCTGAATCGATATTTTAGTACACCAGCGTCCAAGGAAAAATTGGTCATCTTTGACACGTCCTTACGCGACGGTGAACAGGTAATTTAAATTGTTCCTTTGGTCTCTGTTATTTTTTAGAATTTGAAGGAGAACCAATATTGCTAATCTTTTATTCCACTCTAGTCACCGGGTGTTACCCTCACTCCCGAGGAAAAACTTGAGATTGCCAGGCACCTTTCCAGTCTTGGGGTCGACGTAACTGAAGCGGGTTTCCCGATAGCCTCGCTAGGCGATTTCGAAGCAGTCGCGCGTATCGCGAAGGAAGTTGGTCCTCTGATGAACGGACGAGAAAATATTGGCAAACCTATGGTCTGTTACTCTAAACGAGTGCGGAACTGCATAATTGTTAGCTAGATATAACGGTTTCTTATCTATAGGTAATTGCCGGGCTTGCGCGTGCAACCGAAAAAGACATAAAACGATGTTATGACGCCGTATCATTCGCACCTCTTCATCGAATCCACATATTTCTTGCAACCTCCGACATACACCTAAAACACAAGCTTAAGATTAATCGAGACGAATGTATAGAGCGTGCAACTTCTGCGGTCGCCTATGCTAAAAGTTTATGCGAAGACGTTGAATTCAGCTCGGAGGATTCCGGCAGAAGTGATAGAGATTTTCTGTGCAAAGTTTTAGGTAAAGTAATTGAAGCCGGTGCTACGACCTTGAACATTCCGGATACCGTCGGATACAACAATCCGGATGAATACGGAGCTTTGATCAAGTACTTGATTGAGAATACTCCGGGAGGTCACAAGGTACGCTTCAATGTTCAATGTTTATATTATTTCCTCTCGTTTTTTTCTTTTTTCTTTTTTTTTTTTTTTTAATAGATGTTTTCGAATGGATTTTTAGGTCATTTGGTCAACACATTGCCATAATGATTTGGGCCTTGCCACGGCGAACACCTTGTCCGGAATTCTTAACGGCGCCAGGCAAGTTGAAGTAACTATCAACGGCATCGGGGAACGTGCAGGTGCGTTGAACTAGCCATTCATTCATTAATTTAATACACATTTCTTAAAAGTACAAGTGAACGCGTATTTACACTTTCTTGGGACACTCCGTATAAAAAATTAGGTAATACCGCGCTTGAAGAGGTCGTTATGAATATACACACTCATCCATCAGCATACCCGGTGTATCACACCATCAATACACAACAACTCTATCGAACTTCCACTTTGGTCTCATCCCTTTCTGGGATGGTGGTACAACCAAACAAAGCCATTGTTGGGGCTAATGCATTCCTTCATGAATCGGGTATTCACCAAGACGGTGTATTGAAACATAGGCAAACCTATGAAATCATGAGTCCAGAAGACGTGGGAGTTTTCAATGCTAATCTGGTCCTAGGTAAACTCTCGGGTCGTAACGCGTTTCGCTCACATATAATCGAGCTTGGTTATGGAGATATGAGTGAGGCCGATTTCAACAGTGCATTCGATCGATTTAAGGAATTGGCAGACAGCAAGAAGCGTGTCACGGATCACGATCTTCTATCATTGTTGACGGATCAGGTTACAACAGACACTGCGCCTGAATCGCAAAGGTTCAAACTGCAATCAATTCAAGTAGTCTCTGGAACCCATGAAATGGCCACAGCCACCGTAAAACTCTTCGATACAATCAGGAACCAAGAATTATTCGACGCGGCCATCGGAAGGACCGGACCAATCATGGCTGTATTTGGTGCTATTCAGAGACTGGTGCAACGTAAGATACGACTGTTGAAATACGAAGTACGTGCTGTATCTGAGGGAATGGACGCACTAGGAAAGGTCATCGTTAAAGTGACCGAGGATGTTGACTCATCAGGTTTGGATGTTGTTGCGAATCCACGTGAACACGCTATTTCTGGAGAGGTAAAACCAAAGGTAGATTCAACGGGAGAACTAAAATTAACAAAAAGCACATACCATGGCCATGGTACAGACGTCGACGTAGTTTTGGCAAGTGCAAAAGCATATTTGAATGCTATAAACAGGATATTTGCGGAGGAAATTAAGGCCACAACGGGACGACAAAGAAGTTCGTTGGAGGAGAGGATAGCAAATGTATAATAATGGCAATAAAGCATGACATATTCGGAAAAATTACAATGTACAATAATGGGTAGCGCCAATTATTTGAGTCTTGTTTCCTATGGAATTAAAAATATTCTAAATAAAGTAAATTTTTATTAAGTAAAAATAATCAAATGACTAATTATTGACTAATTATAAATTGATCCAAGTAATCTATCTGCATAGTAAAATTATTCTTTTTTTTTTTTCAAAAGAATAATTGGTTTCTTGAATATCCAGTATTAGATTATACGATTTATTAATTTAAAGCGGTGTCACGATTTCAAATATCCACAAATAATAAGAACAACAAAACACTTTCTAGTTAAAAAAAAAAAACTGGACAAAAAATTATTAACTATCATAGTTATCGATTAATCAAGATGCTGCTTAAATGTAATGTAAGTAGAATATCTTTAATACACTTTATCCCTGTCATGGCGAATCGCGCTAATTGTGACAGGAATTCGCTATAACCAGTCGATCAATTTGTTATATAAAATTAATCAATGGGCGTATTCATAAATTTTCAAACTCCTATTCAAATCCAAATACTTTAGACATCCTAATATTATTTTTACATACCATATCACATTTGCATCATATGGCGTTCGATGTTTGAAGAAGGATAAATTCTATAACACAAATTTTAGATTGTTACATATTTACAGTTGTGATATGTCCAATAATCTATTTCATGACAAACCATTTTTCTATTCTAGAATTCTAGAAAGAGAAGTCTAATGAATTAATGAATTAATGTGGGGGTAGCCCGTGAAAACATCAATCTCTGAAGCCTTAATGAGTGGGGGTACTCGGAGCCGACGGTAAAGATTCGGAATAATTCGTTTGAAATTTAGCTGACGAGAATAGGATTGGTTAATGATATATAAAGAAAGAGTTTTCTTCAAGATGCCATGAATACATACAAATTCCTACGATGGTCCAACACAAATAATCATCCACCTCCTCGACAGCGACAAAGGAAGTATTGTTGATACATGATTGCGCAGGTGTTACACGAAGTGATTCGTTTGCAAATTCAATGTTCTGCACATGAACAACCTTGGAAGGCTGATAACCAAGAAAAAGGGAGGCGCCGTTAGCCGCACATTGTTCTTGGGATTGCGCGCCATTCATAGGATCAGTAGCGCTTAGATAATGAGGTTCTCGTGTACCAAGACGTACACTCTGTAATGCGACCTTCTGCATCTGGCTGACAGGACCACATGCACCTTGAGCAATTTTACCTTTTTCTACCTTTCGAATTATCAATCGATCAGAGGTAAAGCCTGTTGCAGGATTTGAGAGAGTTATCTCCGAACCGTATGTAATCAGCGTGGAATTTGGACTATTGACGAAAGTAGGAGAGTTTGACCCTTTGGGGGAGGTACCGGTGGTCACAGATGAAAACGTTCTCGTTCCATGATTTACCACAGTGATTATAAAGGAAGACCAAGAAGAACCCTTCGCACATAATTGATCTCCTTCAATGAACATATATTTCGTTCTTACAGTTTGTGAATTAATGCGATTAAACAAGGAAATATGGGATCCAGAAAGTATACAAGAAGACATGTTCCTCGCCTTTGCGGTTTTTTTAGATGGTTTTGATATAATTGTAACAGGCGAGGAATCGGAAACAACATAGGGGACAGTAGAATCTTTGTGAAATACTTTCAACTTTAAAGTGAATTGTTTGGCTTTAGCGGTACCACTAACATGTAAATATTTAAATGTACCCTTCATATTTTCATCCAGCAATATCTTGCGCTCTAATGACCTCTCTCCCGTTTCACACACCACCGAAATTGACACTTCAGGTTTTGTGTTATACTTTCCTCTATAATTGACATTATGCCTTTCGAGTGTTACCACCGGAGGAGGACAGAGAAACCTCTTTTCACTACCATATGATTTTTGTGCAACCGACGCATGATAGCAAGTGATGGTAGTTGATTGACAAGTATTTGAGGTGTTGTTGTCAGCGAAGGTATTGTTATGCGAGCAGTGAGTTCTTCTTGGTGAAGACATGCCTGACGACGACGATAATATTGAAAGTTCATCCCCGTTATCCTCGGATGGCGAATGAGTGGAATTTAAAGTAAGAGGTTCTTCAGTGAAACAGCGTAATTTTGATCTCGTTTTTTCTACAGCGAAGCTATCAATAATTTTCCTTTTGCAATTATTTGAAACCGATGATGGAGAGGAGTTACGCGTATTATAAATATTATCGACAGCTTGATTCGCGCTGGGTAATGGAAAAGAGCTTAAAAAAGTGTTGCTAGGAGGAGAAGGTTGAAGACAAGGAAATGAAATGGAGTAGGTCGGGGATGACGCGGAAATTGAAGTTGGCTGGGTAGGTGATGAATTAGGTGATGGGTTCGGTGATAGTTTTGTTGGAGTTGTGGAGAGTCCCGGAAAAATTAAAGAAGTGTCCGGCGGTGTTGGTGGTGTAGAATGTTCTAATTCGATTAATGAAGAGATCGACATGGCAGCAGGGGTTTGATCCTTATCATCATCGTTAGATTCTCCCAGTCTTGGTTGTTGGTGATGACATGAAACAGAAGAATGAGAAGAGTGTTGCAGTTTTGATGTTTCGTTACTATCCGAGGAAAAACAAGATATCACGACGTTTTTCTTGGTAAGATGACATTTCTGGGACAGATTAATTGGTGAAACCTCGATGGCATTCAAGAGGGTTTCTAAATTACTATTACCAATATAATGGTAATCTAATGTTGTCGATACTATCGAATTTGTGTGTGTACCGCTTTTGTCCATAATAAGAGAAGAAAAAAAAATTTTTTAATTTCGAAAATTTTTACGTGTTTCTGTGTGTATATATGGATATGTACTTTACCAAGCGCGTGTGAAAAAAATTTAAACTGCACGAGCGTCCGATTAAATAAGCGGGTTTTTTTTATATCTATGTGGGAAAATTTCTTATTAAGTGTGAATCGTAAGTTTTATCAGAAAAACGATCTTTTTTTCTCGGTAACATAATCTTTGGAAATTCCTAATTGGACTTGCTAACCAGTTTATAGGGCTGAGTAAATAGAATCTAATAAATTTACAGAACTGATAAGCTATGCTGCAACCGTACCACACCGAAAACGAATTTTTTGGCGTAGATAGATATTAACGGGTGTAGATTGAAAACTGGTGAGAAAATATACAGTGCATGCTGGACGTTTATTTTTGTGTAGCAGCATATCTTTTTCGCTCGTAATCAGTCGTGCATACGCACATCCCGTCTTTCGGACTCGCAAATATCCTGACATCTCAATTTGGAATACTCGATAAATAGCATGTGCTTTGATTGACTACACGCACATCCAATTTTAAGGTATAGATAAGATATCAGGTCGCGAATTTAGATTATCTGGACGTCAAAATAGTCTTATCCACATACACCCAATATAGTGTGCTTTTGTGTAATGTCGCACGTCGCGGCATTGCATAACTAGGAATTTTTTTTTCAATTACTGCTTCCGGTTAATTGTTTACAGTTATTATATCAACTATTCCACACTATTGTTACATACCGTAGTAACCTTATAAATACAGTATCTAGAATTATTTTGTAAGTAGTTAAATTCAAATAGTTTTTTTTTTTTTTTTTTTTAACCCGCAATCATGCCACAATGGCGTGTCTTTATTGAAAAATTGAAAATGAATTTACAATATTTTACAGACTTTCACAAAGTGACTAACTTATCTTCATATAAAAGTACTCTAAGGTAGATTTTGGAGACAATATTTCACTCTTCTAATAGATTGGTAATAATCTCTATCTATCAGGATCATTGTCAACAGTTTGTCACTGTTGATTGCCTGAAAACCAATGAATTGCTAAATTAAAAAAAGGGAAAGGGAAAGGACAATTGGGGAAAGGGAACAATTCAAGGCTCACCAAAAAAATCCAAAAATAAAAACAACCTCTTCTTAAAAGGGATTTGCCTGATTGGAATAATCTTCTTGCTTCACTTGAACCTTGGAAAAAATCTTTTTTTTCATTACCTGCAGCATCAGACGAGTCAATCCAACTGGTCTTTCATTTAAGTGAGCACCGAATTGGGATATCTCAAGGAAAGTATTTAGACCTCAGCTTTTTTCTATTAAAGTTTTATCACTACTTGAGGAACTTAGATAAGAGATAGGAGTTTGCAATTCACATTATCCATCACTTAATCTTTTGATGTCATGGAAATTTTCATTGAGAAACTTGAGCTTTTTTGGGGATAAACGTTTTCAAAATCTTCTTTCCAATCACCAATGACATTATTGGAACATATGATGTGACCAATAAGAGCTTGTTTATATTTCAAAAACTAATGTGTTTCGTGTCAACCAATCACCTTTGGTGAAAATTTGTGCTATCAAAAATTCAGGGTCAAACTGAGGTAGGCAAAATTCTCCAAAAAACCATGAAAGCGATAGCTCTAAGAGGCTCAATAGTGACTGGAAGGGGAAAAATAAATCCTTCTATCATCAAAAATCTCTATATATCTCTCGCTTCAAAGGTTAAAAAGATCTTCAGGTACTTCACAGTCAGTTCTTCTTCCTTTGAGAACTTTCTTGCCATTGGTATTAAAGGTGTTACTTGACTTTTCTTGGTCACTAGAAGTCAAGTTTTTGAGTGAAGAGGTTTGTAAACAAAAGGAAAAGTGTAGAGACGACTCTTGAAGTCATACTTCAAGTTGTTTTAATGAAAGTATTAAGACTTTATTAGCAAAAAAGTATAAAAACTTCTTGTGAACATCTTTTTTGTATATGGTCAGAGGATCAGTAAAAAGAGTTTTTATCTATATAATTTTGTTTTAATTAAATTCAAATAGTCTTTGATTATTTGATTCTTTTTTATTTATTTATTTTTTTTTTGTAATAGGCTTGAATATAGTTTATTAATCAATAAGTACAATTTATTTAAATAATACAATATATACTATTAATTTGAATAGTTTTTTTTTTTTAATCTGTAATTAAGTCAATATAATATATCTTTATTGTATATATGTTAAATATTTACAAATTGTTATAACTTTTATATATTAACTCACTTATTGTCAAAAAACTATTTATCTAAATATAACCTAGGAAATGATATTTCATTTCTTTACTAATTTGGATAACTTTTTTAATTAATAAAATCATTGCTTATAGATAATGATAAATCTTTAAAGTATTTAATATATAAAATTTTACAGATTATTTATGTTCCTTTTTGAGAAACAAAATTCATAATTCTTCACTTTAATAGAAACAAAAGTTAAGAAATTTATAAATCAATAATTTGAATAATGAAGAACAATTATAGATAGTTTTTTTTTTTTTTTTTTTTTTTTTTTTTTTTTTTTTTTTTTTTTTTTTTTTTTTTTTTTTTTTTTTTTTTTT